CTCAAACAGCAATGAAGAACTTCCCGCACAAGCAATGTCGGCATACAACTCAAGCATCGTCACTTTAGAATGTTGTTGAAGAGACTATTGTTGAAACATATTGAACATCATATCAACATCGTCATCATCAGCAATTTCCAGCACGACAAATTTTTTCAATTGTACGATACCGCCCGGTTAACCTAGACACTGATTGATTGGGGCCGAGCTTCAATTTCTCCGTAATCTTTGATTTTTAATCATGCAATCCCACACCACATCGTATTTGTATTCCTTTGGTGTGCCCCTCAAATGCCCATCCTGTAGCACCTTCAAGTATTCTACCATTATAATATATGATTTCATAAACATACCCCATATCTGGAAGAAAACAGTAAAAACATTAGACAAGATGTTAGAAAATTAGAAATGGGATAAACCAATTAAATTATTCTAAATTACATTATTGAAAATTACATTATTAAAATACTAAACACTACTCATGAGTGACTAATTATTGTGTCAAATATCTAAATATAATTAATTACATATAAACATACAAAATTAATTATTATGTAAAATCTCTATAATATACGTGGACCTAAGCTATGATAACACAAAAAAAATAATTTAAAAAATTATAACAAATTTCTACTAATTAAAAGAAACCCTAAATATAATCTCAAATTAATTATTCTAAATTACATTACTAAGATACTCAAAACTACTCATCAATGACTATAACTAATTAAATGAGTCAAATATATAATAAGTATACTTAATTGCACAAGCTTGTCTTAGAAAAACTAAATTAGTTATTCTAAATATAATGTCAAATATCTAAATATAATTATAAAACATAATTGATGTTAAAGAAAAAAAATGAAATGATTTAGAAAAAAATGAAATTATGTTAACTTGTCTTGGTGTATTATATATAGCTACTTTGTTTTGGAAGAAGAAGCTTCACTTTGATGTGCAACCAGTGTATACTGCTAATGGAAAAAAATCAAATGGGAAGATATACTGCAAATGGAAAAAGATGAACATACCTGCTGAACGAAGATCTGAAGTTTTTGCTACAACATTGAAGAAAGTTGCGAATGAAAGAGAGACTACACAAGAGGATAAAAAACATAGGGTAATGTGGGGCTCGGACGGCCGGGATTGTGCTATTTGGCAATGTTGTTTGAGTTCCCCGGGGAAGGGGGCGAGACCTAAAAAAAAGTATAAAATGAGTGTCGTAGGGGGTGGGGGCGACACTTACAACTAAAAAAATAAAAAAATAGTAAATACCATTTTTGATCATCAGCAAATTTCACGATCCCCGCTTTATTCCCTAGCAAATAAAAAGGCTATTTATGGTTCCTAAGAAATTCAAAGTGGACCTATTTAGTTGAAATCATGGTCCCTCACAAATTCAAAAAAGGCCCACATTAGTCCCTCAAAAAGACTAAAATGGGTCCACTGTGAATTTCTTAGGGACCACGAATAGCCTTTTTATTTGCTAGGGACTAAAGCGGGCATCGTAAAATTTGTTGAGGACCGAAAATGGTATTTACTCATAAAAAAATTACATGAGTTTCGTAGTGGTGTGGGGGGCAACACTTACAAGTAAAAAAAAATTACATTAGTGTCGTTTCGGGGGGGGAGGTTGGGCGTAACTGGGTTCGGAAAAAATAATAATTTAAAATACATTATGAGTGTCGTGGGGGATCGGGGGCGTGATTTGAAGTTGTAGGGGACTTCTCGCGACACTTAAAGACCCACCATGGTAATTATTTTCAAATATATACCAATTTAATACATTAAAAGCACAAAAGCACCTGTCCGGTCAAAGATCCCTTTTAACAGTCTTAATCTCAGCCCTAATTAGGAACAGTGACCAAAGTGCCACTGTTGGCCAAAACAATTACCAGACTGTCACGCCAACAGTAAATTTTGTCAAAATACCACGTGGCATATTTCGCTACACTGTGTAGCGAAATATGTGTGCAAATAATTCGCTACACAATGTAGCGAAATATGTCACGTCAGACTGCTCAGAACCAAAAATGCCATATGTCAAAATTGAAGAAATTCGCTACATAGGGTAGCGAATTTCTACAATTTTGACACATGACATTTTTTGTTCTGACGTGGCATATTTCGCTACACTGTGTAGCGAATTATTTGCACACATATTTCGCTACACAGTGTAGCAAAATGTCACGTGGCATTTTGGTAAAATTTACTGTTGGCGTGGCAGTCTGGTAATTTTTTTGGCCAACCGTGACAAAATGGTCACTGTTCCCCCTAATTATACGAGTACAAATAACAATATTTTATACAAGAAAATTGGAGAATCATGAGTGCAACCACCCTCATCCGTTTTTTCTAGATATAGGTACGAACTCATCCATGATTCTTGGATGAAATAATTTGCATACTTGTGCTTTCCATATATGCTAAAAATGAATTGGCCAAGATAGACGCCCCTAAGTGTGGAAAAAGATTGAGATCCGAGACAAACTCAAGGTTCAAAGCTTCCATGCAGTCCTTGAAATTGATTGCAAGTGATGAAAATGAGGATTGAACGGACACTGCGTTTTAATGTATAAAATTTGAGGTTAATGTTTCTTAGAGGGGGCAGATTCTTTTTACACCAGTGTAAGACTAACAAGTCTTACATTATATCTCAGTTATTAATGGACGGTAATCATCGGTTGGTATTTGTAGTGTAATTAAAATTAATATTAATTAATTTGTATAACTTCTTAAATTATAACCGTTGGATGTACGGAAATCAACGGTTGAAATGTGGTGTAAGACTTATTAATCTTATACCGATGTAAAATGATCCTGATCTTTAGAGGAGATAGATTTTATCTTTTACTTATACATAGAAATATGTGGGACTCATGTAAACTCATAAGAAAAGAAGAAAAAGAAAGAAAAAAATATGAATATCATGTGTAGGAGATAAAAAATATATATAAAATAAAGGAAGATTATATTTACAAACTTTTTGTTTACAAACTATATTATGTCTGACCAATAATACACTCTTGAATAGAGTATTACCGGTCAAATATAATGTAATTTGTAAGTTTATAAATAAATATTTTCCGTATAATATATATGTTTATTCCACTTTGTAAAAGGCTCATTATTGACATTTATAACACTCGGGGAAGTTCAATTCATTTGGTTGAAAAAACAAAAACAACAAAGTCAGGTACTCTTTGAATCTTGATACTACATATACATATATAGATAACAAGTGGAGCCATGGCATTCTTATCAGTGTCAGCATCATGCTGATAGATGGCTGAGCTGTCCGTACCCAATTCCACACGAAGAGACTCTATTAATTACGAACAATTATAGTCCAACTCAAAGTAATTTTTATTTTCTACTTTTTTGGAGCCTTATTTTGTTGTGGCAATACTTTATGGATTTTATATATATTATATTGTAGGATATTTTTAATATATTTGATGTGGGTCTTGCTTTAAAAAAAAAAAAAACAAGTTGGGGCCATTCTTTTTTATGAGAGTAATATAATATTAAAAGTGTCTTATAAGATGACATATATAAAACACATACTTTATATATGTGAATAAATTTTACGCTCAGTTCTTTAATAATTCTTAAAAGCAAAAGTTTTGTTCTCCAAAAACGATGCTGTCAAACAGGTTGAAATGATAAAAATTGTAAACGGCATGTTTTAGTTATGATCTTGTTTTATTATCAATCTTATTAAACCCGACTGATGATCCACTCCGTTAAGGTATTGGGTTAACAAGTTCTTGGTATTAGTGAGTAATTTATTAAATAGCTTAAATTGAATTTATGTAAAAATAATGATAATAAATATATAAATAAAGGGTTTATTTTTTCTAAAGTTACTTTAGATAACTTTATCTAATGTTCATCGAAACGAGTCGTTTTTAAACGGAAATCATGGTTTTTTTGTAATTTTAATTTATTTTAGGGTTATAATAGTCTTTATCATTCTAATTTTTTAATTTTTCAACCCCAAAACGACGTCATTTCGATGAAAATTAGATAAAGTTGTCTAAAGTAACATCGGAAACTTTTTTCCCATAAATAAAAGTAATATGAAAATAAAAATAATCTGTCTTAACATTAATTGAATCCAATTTATGACCCATTCAGCCTTCATAACCGTGTTATATATATAACCAGTTAATTAACTGAAAATATGGTTCCTAATTTAACCGATCCATGTTTATTATTATTCAACTTTTTATCCTTCTGAAAATGACATAATCGGTAACTTGGTGACACATTTGGTAAATCGGGCATGCTCCAGGAATGAACTGCATAGGCAAAAAAGTCCCTCATTCAATTTTTAAGGCGAAACAATTTTAGATCAATAAAAAAAACCTTCGCGTTTTATGCCTTAAAGTGGATAACTTCATCCAAATTAATAAAAATACTCCTCAAAACTAATAAAATATAAAAAAATAAGAAAAATACTACTCCTCTTATAGAAAATAACTACCTTACATTATAGAGAAAAAATGGATGAATCTCGTCAAAAATAAAAAAAAAATGCAAAAATTAAAATGAGAGAAATTATCTTTATGAAAAAAGAGTAATAAAGCCCAAAAAATAAATACACAAACTAATTAACATAATGGTCACATTAGACCTGCATATCTAGTGAGGAAAACTGGACAAATTCATCAACCTTCAAAACTGAAATTTCTAAAACTAGCTTATAAATTCAGAAAATATGTAGCCAATTGAACTAATATATTTTTTATCATATAAAATCAATTTTAAACTTTTTCGTTCATTAGACTGATTAATTGGTTTTTAATTTATAATGAGAAGTTTGGAACCCGACATCTCTGCTGTTGATTTGTCCAAATAAAAACATGATACAAGTTCTATTTATAACAAATTTATTGTCTTAATTGTGCCAAAATTAAGAAAGTACTATCTGTCAATTAGCTGAAAGTTTGCCTCCAACGATATTTTGATCATAAAAGAAAGTAAAAATCCAAAAGAAACATCTCATTTAGTGCTCTATAAGATATTGTAATATAGCCTAAGCTTATAGCCAAACCCATCACATTTACATTTTATATATATATATATATATATATATATATATATATATATATATATGAGGTAGAATCCTTTGACATTGGTGTCAAATTTTAATTTTGACACCTCATCTCAGAACCGTCAGATCAAGATAGATCAATGGTGTCACATGCTTGCAAATCAGAGTCATTGATTTTTTTTTATCTAACGGTTCTGAGATGAGGTGTCAAAATTAAAATTTGACACCGGTGTCAAAAGATCCTACCTCTCTCTCTCTATATATATATATATATATATATATATATATATATATATAAGGTGATGACAGTGTCAGCAAAAAAATAAAAGGGTTTCTATGATATCTGCTTCCATATCAGGATCAAACCCCCAATATGGAATTTGAGGCTCTGAACAAGGAGGGCATTGTGGACAAACAAAATTAACCAAAATAAAACAAAACCCTCAACAAGCTCTACAGCATAAAAGGCAAAGGGTTAAAAGGATATGAAGAAGTCATATCCATGAACATCCAAATTTTCACAAAAAATATGTACACGCTATAACTGTACACAAAACTCTCTTTTACCAAAAGCAAGATGTGTCATCTTCAGGCATTAAGGGAGTCCTGCAAAGTGGGCATGTAATGTTCCAATAGTCCAACCACTTCTCCAAGCACACTTTATGGAAGAGATGGCCACAAGACAAACGGTTTATCTCTGATTCTGGTTCGAACTGAGTGAGACACACAGTACAATCATGCTCATGTTGTTTATAGCTACACACACTGTCAAACCTAAGTGTTGGTGTCCTGCTTCTAAACTCCTCAAGGAAACCCTCTGAGGGACTGAGAAGGAATTCAAATGACTCTGGTGGGTTTTGAGTGATATCTTGTGGTGGAGATGAAATGGAGGAGGATGATGAAACACGGATACCAACAACGTGTAGGATTGTCCTAACAATGGCTTTAAATAAGGATATAGACAAGGCAGTATTTACTAGAAGTACACATAACATTCCTTCAGATGGTGCTGGGAGACTTGAGAGGCCCATTTTGAGGGATATCAAGTTGCTGGTACTAATTGTATTGCAAATGTTGTGGCCCAAAGTAGACAACAGTTTTATCTTTGAACCAAGCAGAATGGACAAAATAGAAGCAGAATTTCTCTGTCAACTTGATCAATGGAAGCTCTGTTAGTCTCTTATTGATATCTTACCTGCAAACACATCAAAGGGTACTTTATCAAAATTGAAACAAAACGAAATAGGTGTTGAATAATCAATTATAGATTAAATTGATTAAACAAATAGAGCAGGCTTAAATCCTGACTAGATAGCCGGTATTCTTGAGTTCCTTAGTAGTTAAAATATCTGATTTCACAAGTTTTATGCCAAAAATCTGGATGGAAGAGAATGAAATAACAATTTGCAGGAAACCCAGAATTTGGATAAGGAAATAGGAATATAATCTCATTGAAAATAGAAGGGAACATGTTTAATTTGAAACTCAGAATAAAAAGTTGTCTCTTTTTAACAGGAAAAAACAGCTACTCAGAGAGAAATTTTGGGTGAAAGTCTGCAGCAACACAAGCCCAAATTAAAGGACCAATCCCCACAATATAATAGAATTGAGAGAAAGAACATGCAAGTTCTGTGTTTAGAAAGACAGGAAACAATGAAACAAGATACCAGAAAACAATTTTTGAAAACCCAAGTGGATCATAATTTGATGTCAAAGGTTCCAGATATCAAATTTAGCAAACGAGACAAAATTATAAGCATTGAAGTGGCTTCTTCATCAACAAGATCTACCAAAAACAAAACTTTAGCAAAAAATGGTCAAGAATTATTCTAATCAAGGTTACATGAAGTATAAAAAAAAAAAAAAACGGCATATCCACAGAAAATGACACTAATTTAGCATCTACCGTTTCATGGAAGCATGTTGCATGACAAAGAAGAAAAACATTAAACACCAAGAAGGAAAAAAACTAAAAAGAAATCATTTTTGTGACTTACAGAGAGAGAATTTGAGGATAGCTGTTTTGGGTCACGGAGTAAAGAGTGTATATGTGAGAAGCAAACTCAGCTTCTTAAAAAGCCTTCAAGTTCAAGTGAGTTTCTTATAGGAGAGTTGTTGCAAAGTCTCTTCCTTTTCTCCTTGGCTTTATAGAGGAACCCCCACTTACACTTTACCATAGGGGGTTGTTGATTATCTAATGCAACCTCAGTCCCTTAACCATGGTTAAAAGTTCATTGCTTTCCCCACAAAGAAATGTAACCATGGTTAGCATTTTTGTTGTTTTATGACATCACCTGCCTGTCTTTTTCTTCACCTTTTAAATTTTGTTACGTCTGATATTTATGTAAAGGGTTACATATTTGCAATTACGATTATCTATTTGTATTTATTAATTATGATTTTTATAATCCTTCAGTAGCTATATTTTATAGGTAAAGTGTCTGTCATTTTAAAAGATGTAAAGTCGTGTCATTTTAAGAGAGAGAAAAAGATAAATAAAGGAGGAGAGAGTTGACAAAAAAATAAAAGTGTGTGTCCCACTTCTTTGTGAGAGTGAAAGGATATAAGTTGTGTCATTTAAAAGGATAAACAGTTTTCCATATTTTATTCTAGTTAAATCTTAACTAAGTATACAATTAGATTAAAATCACATCTTTTTCCTATATTATCAAATTTTTATTTTAAGATATATAAATTAGATTTAAATTTTGTAACATTAAATACAATACAATAAATTTATACTTATGCACAAGTCAATGCTCACTGTTGAGATTGTCCCAAAAGGCAAAAGGTTTATTAGTCTTACCTTTTATGCACATTTTGCTGTTAAAACTTAGATTAGACTTGTTTTTACATTTTTTGGTAATTAATTACTTATGCAATTTTAAATCCAAAATAATTGTTGTTAAGATCTTACAATTCCGAGATTCATAATATGTCCCAGACTATAATATTCATTAAGAAATCCATGATGTTCACTTTCTAATGACTCAAATTTTATCATATTTTCATTTTGTAGATTTAATTAAAAGATTTTCTTCAACGTTCGAAAATATTTTTTCAAAGTCAACATTTTTGGTTTTATGAGGTTTACATGTAAGATTATTTTTTTTGGAATATTAAAAAGGTTTCTTTCTATATTAAAGATTTTAGGAGTCTGAAACTGACTGCAGCTGAACATTTATTATGAAGATATTTATTTAAAGTCAACATTTTTGGTTTTATGAGGTTTACATGTAAGAATAATTTTGTTTGGAATACTAAAATGGTTTCTTTCTATATAAATGTTGGGGAATGTGTTTATTATGTTATTGAAAAATTTTAAAACTTGCTCCTAATACATAAAAAGTTGTGCCAATCACTTTTATTTTTTTATTTTTTTTTAAAAATAGTGGATTCCATATCAGTTTGAGTCTATAACATGATGAGAACTTTTTCCTGCAACATAATATCTATAAATCCCATAAATGTTTAGACGTTGTTGTCAGTTTCAAACTCCTAAAATTACAAAATCTCTTTATCAATTAAAAGATGTGTATTGTTTTCTGTAACTGTTTTTAAAAAGAAATAATTTTTTTCTATTTTTTTTCCTTGTAATAATTTTTGAAAAAAAAAATGTTTAATAATATATTTTATTTTTATTCTGAGAATAAAAATTGTGTTTGAAAACACATTAAATAATAGAATAAAAAATTATCCTTATTAAGCATAAAAATATTTTTGAATCATCACTTTCATTTTCATATAGTGTGGTGGTGGTGGTGGTGGTGACGGTAGTGATAGTAATGGTGGTAGCTGCGGCGGTTGTGGTGATGATGGTGGTGGTGGTGGTTGTGGCGTGAAGGTAATGGTGGCATCGTGATGGTGGTGATTATGGTAGCGGTAGAGAGGAATTGAAAGAGACAAATGTTTCTCATTTTGTGTTCAGTAACAAAAAAGTAAAAACAAATTTAGGGTTTTGTTTTTCTTATGTCACATGAGATAAATTTTTTTTCTACTCTCACAACAAATAGTGGGACCCACTTTATTTTTTTAAAAAAAGAGAAAAATAAAATACGGAAATCGAAGTGAGAGTAAGAGATAAAATTTCTCTTATGTGACATAAGAGAAATAAAATCCATTTATTTTATTTTTTTATATTCCTCGACATTTAAATTGAACCGTTTATTTTGGGAACAAAAAATAAACTGATTTTATCACTATTTCTATCCATTTTTATTTCTAAGAACAAAAATTAAAACAAAAAATTGATTCTGAAATGATTATTATTTACATCGTAAGTTGGCTTACTAATAATCTGCACCACTCCTTGTGAGTATTCAATGTCAACTTTTAGTACACAGTGAAAGACTCTTGGAAAGTTGGAACCTTTATCAGATTGCTAAAGCCCATAATTAATTCTTAATATGTAGGAGTTTAAAGGCTATCTATATATAGGTTTCGCGAATAAAATAATTTAGAGACTTTTGGAGTGACTATTCTGATAATTAATAAGTGGAAATGATTTCTGCATTTTTCCACCACTGATGGTGAAAGAGCAATGGGGCCAATTATATTTACCCTCTCTCGATTATTTCTTTCTCCCTCTTTTTTTTATGAATGGCAGAAAAAATAATTTTTGCAGTAAATGCAGAAATTATTTCCGCAATTAATAAAGTCCTTTTTGCTTTCTTCACTAGTTTTCTATTACTTTGTCTAATTTTTAATGAGTGTATGGTAATTTAGTTGGTCCATATAAGCCGGGCAGGTAAGGAAAAGAGGATATATTTGATCTTTTTCAATATTATCTTTAAAAAAGATATAAAGCCCTAATCTTAGACTCACTTTGAATAAAATTATCTCATATAAAAAATACTTGTAGTTTATATATATATATATATATATATATATATATATATATATATATATAAAACTCTTTATCATAGTAATTTTATTTCATTGATGGATTTGAAAGGACGGTATTCCTTCTTATCTTTTATGAGGTGTTTGTTTCAAGCTTTTTAAATATTTCTCCATGCATTTGATTTTGGCAAAGTATGTAATCTATGTTTGGTAGAAAGATTTGAAACATTTCCCCATCTTTGGCAAGGTGTTTTGTTTGTATGTTGGGTTTTACCTATCCTAATTCATATTTTAATTTTTTTTTTTTTTCCAAATAGACATCAAATTATTTTGATTGCAATTCAATTTGTCTGTAGTTAGATATTGTCGATTTTGGTTTTAATTTGATTTTCTTGGAAGCTTGAACAATTATTCACTATTTTTTGATTGCCTCGTGTGTCTTTATAACAAGATTTTTCTTTACCTTTGAGTAAAAATATGTTATATGACTTGTCAAAAGCTTTTTCAGGTAATTTGTGAGACCTAACAGTGACTGTCTTTGTCCTCATATCAAGAGTTCTCTTTACATTAAAAGTGAAAACAAGTTATATGATGTATATTTTGTGACACCTAATAAGTTGAGATAAATGTATTATAAGATCAGAAAAATATTTCTGCAGTTACTGCAGATAAATTATCTGTATTTATTTTCAAAACGACGTCATTTTGAGATTAAGAGATTAAAAAATAATAATTATAAAGACTATAATAACTCTGAAATAAATTAAAATTATAAAAACACCTTGATTTTCGCCCCAAAACGATATCGTATTGGGCTTACTGCATATAATTTATATGCAGAAACTGCAGAAAAAACGAACTCTTATAAGATTTAATGTTTGTGCTTTTGTTGCAGAAAACATTTCTCTGTCACACTCACATAAAAGTGAGTGAGTCCCATTAATCTTTTCTCTTATTCTCTTTACAATGAGACTCATTTACTTTTATGCGAGTATGACAGAAAAAATTTCTGCAGCAAAAGTAGAAACTTTTTTTTCACATTATAATTATTATTTTGTATATATATTATGCGAAAATATGAATAAAATTATCTCCCACAATTTTAAATAAGGACATATTGGGGTATAAGAAAAAACATACAGGTTGTTAGGTACTAGAAGACCGTATTGCTATAGTGCGCTTAAAGATACCTCGGAGGTAGGTACCGTAATTGGCTTATAGCCAGTATCTCAATCACTGCGCACAAGCAATAGGCTTATAGCCAAGACGTGGGTGTATGCACAGTGTTGGCAGTAATAACAAATAGGTCAAAAAGTGTGTACTTGGGGTCTTAGTCTCTTATTTATAAGGGTTATCTCTAGGGTTTCTGTAGATCTCCCAGTTACAGTAGGATTCAGCTTCCTTTCTGTTGAGATATGGGCTCTATCTTGAAAACTTTGTTGCTTGATATTTGTTAGGATAATTAAGTATTTATCCTTTAAAGGATTCTTAGGTAGGTAGTTAGGATATGATATATATCTATAACAGTTGCCCCCAGCCTGGTATTCTGTATCTCGGAATGCCGGGGTGTTTATATATCATCTCGGCTTCAGAGTTGCCATCTCGGCTTCAGAGTTGCCGAGTTCTTGCATTCGAGGTTGCGTATTGGTTACGTCGAAAATCGGGTTCGGGATTGACATTTGACGCGCCAATGGAGTATGGTTCTGGCTTAAAGGATTCCTTTTCTCTTTTGTCGAAGTCTTAATTTGTTATTTTTGGCCGTGGCGTGAGATTCGACTATGATGTCGTGGATGAGATCGCATCAATTTGACCTCTCAGTTCTCTCTTGCAATGACGGTTACAAATTTCCACGTGTCATGCCCCTGTTCGCATTTCGTGCTTCGTGGAATGGGCGCCGTTCTGAGCTTTTGCAGGCCATGAGTGCATTTATCCAATGCGTGCAGTAGGGAAATTACCACTTTGCCCTTGGTTATTTAACCGTTTAAAACCTCTTCATCTTCACGTCTGAGATGCTTTTTCCTTTGTATAAATATTCATTTTCAACACGTTTAGTGACTTTCATCTTCCTCAGTTGCCTTTCTCCTTCGTTTCTGGCATTATCTTCTCTGGGCACTTCCTATTTGCTGTCATTATTTGTGAAGATCTTTGTAGAGTTCATAGTTGCTTTTCCTGTTCCTTTCTCAGGTACTTCTTCTTTCCCCCATTTGTTTTGTTATTCATTTGAATATACAATCTTAGGATTTTAGAGTGTTGCATTTTGGTTTTTACTGGGAAATACAAAAATTTGC